TGAGTCACGTGACGTCACGAGGTCACGTGACAACATGAATTGACACCATGGCGTCACGTGACAACGTGACAGATGGTGTCAAAACCCCACAACTTACCATACTTTTCAATTCTGAATATATGACGATTTGATCCATAGATAGAAATACAGCCGCCAATATTTTATTCCCATATGATCATTTTGTGATACTAAGAAAAAAGAAAAAAAGAAGTATTACCTTGCACCGTTTTGAACCGGTTACCGTTATAATTCTTTTTCCTATCGGTTCCGGTTCAGTTCCAAGATGGCGGCGAAAATTTCGGTTCGGTTCCGGTTCGGCTAAAAATAACGGTTCGGTTCCGGTTCGACACCCTGCCTCCAGTACGGTTCTCTCGCCCTTCATGAAATTTGGGCGTTTCGTGAGCGTCGAGCCTGCACACGCCGCTAATGCACAAGGGAAGGCAACGTGTGCCTTTTGGCGGTATCTGAAAGACACGACCCCAGGTTCCCAAACTGTCAATGACTGAACGGTGTGAGCGTTTGTCCGCACCTCGTGCGTTCGTTTAAGTTGCCCACGTACTTCTGCTCCGCGCCGACCATAGCGAATGACGGTGCCCGCATGACTCCCTCGTCGTCGCGAGTTTCCCGCACGACCACTGTGCTGCCCTTTGATTGGCGTGTCCTTTTTGGCATTCCGATTCTCCGCAGACGTTTTGAAACACTTGCCTGCCATAGAGGGTGTCTCATCATCTACCTGTCTTGGGTGATGCTATTCTCTGTAGCAGTGCCCGATGCCAACCACACGCAGTGACGAGAAAAATGCTAAGAAATTGCCTGTCACAAGATGCGACAATACCGAGAGCTGGTAGCGGAAGACGCTCTTCCACGAGCTCATTGTTGTGCCATGCCCACAAACTTGTATTGACATTGCTTATGATTGTTTCTATGCATGCAAATTACTTGTTTGCGGTGATGTCGACACCAATCCTGGCCCTACGACTGAGGAGATGTTTCAACAAATAATGAACGGACAGAGTGCAATCCACAAAGAAATTACAGAGTTAAAAACACAACAAAGTAAAACTGAAGTCATGATAAGCGGAATTAACGCCAGGTTTGTTGAATTTGACCAAATTCTTCACGAGCTCAGGCAGAAAACGGAACGAGTTCAGGCCCTGGAAAGTAGCCTCGTAAATCTTGAAAGGACTGTCCTTTTTCAAACTCAGAAAATTACAGATCTCGAGGATGGGAGCCGTCGATCAAATCTAGTCGTTTACGGGATAGCAGAAACAGAAGATGAAACGGAAGCACAGCTTAAGAGTAAAGTGATCACAGAGGTCCTGAATGGCATACTAGGTGTAACTTGCACTTCCATTTCAAGGATTCACAGGCTCGGTAAACCTAGTGACAAAAGGCCTGTCATCTTGTTCTTTCAGGACTATAACGAAAAACAAGCAATACTTCGCAATGCCAAAAAATTAAAAAATACACGGATATCCATTTGCAACGACTATTCACCAAGCACGTTAGCAAAACGTCGGGCACTTTGGTTGAGCGCTAAGACCGATAAGGACCAAGGGAAAAAAGTGTTTTTGGTACATGACAAGCTTCGTATAAATGATGACTGGTATATCTGGGATGACGTCGCAAACTCCCGTCTTCAGCTGCCACAATTACAACCACGTTCGAATGAATGACGCCCATGTACTCCAGAATCAAAGCAACTCCGCATTTTAAACATAAATGCACGGAGCATTGTGAACAAGGTTAACCAACTGGAACTTCTCTTATTGAATTATGATCCCCATATTACGGTAATAACGGAAACATGGTTGCACGAGGACATTAATAATGATAGTATCATTCCACCATCCTACAGCATATTCCGCAGAGACCGCTCATCGCGTGGTGGGGGGGTTGCTGTAATACTGAAAGATAATATTCATGCCGTGCTTCTAGATCAGATTGAAGAGCATGAAAGCTTATGTTTAAAGCTGAATTGCTGGGGTAACACAATTATCTTGTACGCTGTTTATAGACCTCCCAATTCTCAACCAGACTTCCTAAGCCAACTGTACAACCACATATCCTCATACAGGAACAATAAACTTGCAGTTGTTGGGGACTTCAACCTTCCGGGTTTTGATTGGGCCAATTTGTCCGCTAACTCATGTCAGGACAGTGAGATTGTTCTTGACACTATGTTTGCCTATGATCTACAGCAGGTTGTAACCGAAAACACGCGAGAGCAGGGCTCGAGCTGCTCTATCCTTGATCTCGTTTTTGTTAGTAGATGCTTATCTGATTATACGGTCAGTGTCGAGAGGGGGATCTCGGATCATAAACTTGTTTATTTCTGTTGTACTTTAGCGAAAGAGTCACCTGAACGGAAAAGTGTAGTCAAGAAAATTAAAGACTTCTCAAAGTCGAATGATGAGTGTATTCTGGACTATCTGGATTTGGCACTTGATAGTTTTAACGACTCAGACGTGCAAGTTTTATGGAACAAATTTAAGGTTATTTGCAACTACTGTTTGGATAACTTTATCCCCAGTAAGAAAAAGCGTGTTAATAGGGCTCACCCCTGGGTGAATCGGAAAATAATTCACTTAAAGCGAAGGATTAAACGCCTTAAAAAAACTAAACGTAGAAACGACGGTCGCCTTCAGGACATGCAGGACGAGCTAGGACGGCACGTTCAGCAGTCTCGTGATTATTATTTTTCTAATACTCTGCCTAATTTTATTAAAAACGACCCTCAGAAGTTTTGGAGCTACCTAAGCAACAAAAGAAAACCCATCGACCAAATATGTGTTGACAGTACAGTGATTGATGACACCATAGTGATCGCTCGTCATTTTAATGGATACTTCCAGTCAGTTTTTTCTGACGCTGAAACGTACGAGTGTGAAAATCATGAGCGGTCCGACCTGAATGCTGACTGCATATCGATTGCCGGCGTATTTTCCATGTTATTGAACTTGAAAACGAAAAAGTCACCTGGGCCTGATAAGATACCCAATGCCTTTCTGCGTCGTTTCGCGGAACCCTTAGCACACTTCTTAACAGTGATATTCCGCACGTCATTTTTATCGGGAGTTCTGCCGAATGATTGGCTCTTAGCACGTGTTGTGCCGGTGTTTAAAAAAGGAGACCATTTATCTCTGAGCAACTAAGGCCAATCTCGCTTACGTGTACATCGTGTAAGTTACTAGAACATATAATTTCAAATATGGTAACTGACTTCATTGATAAAAATAACTTAATAACCGAGTTTCAACATGGATTTCGAAAGGGCTATTCAACAGTGACACAGCTAGTCACCACGGTGCACGAATATGCCTCCACTTTGGATAAATCTGGTCAGATAGATGCCGTATTCATAGACTTCAGCAAGGCATTTGACAGAGTGCCACATGGTAAACTGCTTTTTAAATTGGAAAGTATTGGTCTTGACTCAGCCATCGTTAAATGGATCGGATCCTATCTACATGGTCGCAGACAGTATGTCGAGGTTGGTTCTGGTTGCTCAGAGATGCTTGATGTGACTTCCGGTGTACCCCAGGGAAGTGTCCTTGGGCCACTATTGTTCTTGATATACGTCAATGATATTGTTTCTGTTGTGGACCCAGGAGTGAACATTCGTTTATTTGCGGACGATTGTGTATTGTTCAAAGATGTTTTGTGTACTAATGACCAACTCGCACTTAACTCAAGCTTAAACTCTATACAAGACTGGTGCTGCCAATGGAAAATGAAATTGAATCTCGAGAAAACTCTCTTTCTTAGAATCACAAACAAAAAGAAGTACCTCTCCTTTCAGTACAAAATAAAAGATTATAACGTCTCTGAGGTAGACCATTACAAGTATCTAGGGCTGACAATTGATAGTCATTTGGGCTGGTCAAGACACATCGACAACATTACATCTGCTGCTTTTAGAAAGCTAGGCCTCATTAGACACAAGTTGAAAAATACACCCCCTAACGTAAAATTGTTAGCGTTCAACACGCTTGTGAGACCTAAACTGGAATACGCCAGCGTTGTATGGGATCCCTTTACCAAAAAAGACATAAATAAATTGGAAAGGGTTCAAAGACGGGCAGTCAGATTCATTTATGATAAGTTCAAGCGATCAGATTCTCCCTCCTCTCTAATGCAGATAAACAAAATTGAATTGTTGCAGGAACGAAGGAAAATAGCAAGGCTAAAGTTTCTGTTTCTTCTTGCAAATGATAAGCTATCTATTAATCGCCACGCATATCTAAAACCCATTGCTACGAGACAGACCAGACATCACCAACCACATTCACTGACTCCGTACTTTGCTCGCACCAATCTTTTCAAATTTTCCTTTTTTCCAAGAACAATCAATGACTGGAATTCCCTGCCCATTGAGTCACTTCCTTCTTCCTACCTCATGACCGTATAGGTTTTTTACTGGTAATGTGTATCTTGCTCTTGGAAGCTTCTTGTCCTGTATTTTTGCATTTGTTATTTACTGTATATTTTAACCTAGTGGCCTTTTTTGATATCTTTTGTTGAAGACTGTTTTTTGTCGTGTATTTTACGATCTGTATTCACTCCTGCTTGGACCATTTAGGTCCGCAGTATGTCATAAATAAAAAATAAATAAAGACAGAAACGAAAAAAAAACAAATAAACAAAGCGTTGGGAGCAATATGCTAAGAGAAAAGTGAAGTCATACTGTGAATCCACAGTGCGCACGCACAGTATGTGTCAAGTTTCTCTATTAAATGGCGCTCATATCATGTAGATCGTAAAAAAAAAACACATCTTCAAATCATAGATAAAGCGAACATGCTTTGAGCGTAATTCAGTCATGTCTGCAGCCAATATTGAGTCTTTTGTATGATGCATGACCAGGTCTGACTGTTGCCTTATCAAAGCGCGCATGAAGACTCCCGAGTACCTTCTGCTCAGTGCACTGCCCTAAAAAAAAATGTCACTGGCGAGGACGGCCTCCTTCGAGCAACGAGGGTTTCGCCACCCGAGCTCACCTTTTGAGAGTGGTGGCTGTGTGGTTCGGCAGCCACTTGCTCCACCGATCGGCCAGCGCGTCATACAGCCAGGAGGCAGACATGTTTCCCTCCATCCCCGGCAGTGGAAAGCTAAGAGAGAAACACAGTACCACTTGAAGCAGAGGGGCGTTTACAACCGAAGCCTCATCGACAACAAAGTGGCAGTGCTCAATGCTCGATGCAACATAAAGAAGGCCAGCACGGGTAACGGATTGGAGACGAGAACTGGATCCTGCTGAGGCTCGCATTCAACCAGTCACAACACTGGTCTCAGTCGAGCGCGAACGCCTTCGGAGCCCCTCATCGCTGTGTAAAAATAATAACTGCTTGCAACTAGGGTCCTCTGTTTTCAGAGAATAACGACACGTCCCGACAAATAAGCCGCCCGGTGGTTTTCTCGGAAGTGGAAAGAACCGAGAAACTCCAATATGGAGCTGCACTTGAAAAAAGAAATCTCCCGGTTTGGCGTAAAAAATTTCTACCCCCCTCATTTTTTTTTTTTTTGTCAACTTGCACATAATTTGTAACATTTTGAAGGTTTTTATTTGTTTTGTGCTAACCATGCCCTTTTCCCTCTTTCCTCGGTGCCGCGATGACGTTTTCTAAGTGTCCGCGTCAGAGGCGTAATTTAATGTACCGGAAGCACAGAGAACGCCACCAAAGAAGGGGGAGGGGGGGGGGGGGGGTAAATTAGTGCCGCAAATATACAGGATGTTATTTTTTATTCCAAACAGATTTTTAAAAAAGGCGTCTTTACTGCTACGTGAATGCCGTCTTCACTATGTGTTTCTTGAGCTCGGCGGACATTCGAGAGGCGAACAACCTTCACAGCCTGGCGAGTCATTAACTAAAATCTGTTAATTAACTTTTTAATTATTGGTTTTATGGACCATGTTGCAATTGTAATTTTGAAGCCAGCCGTCCTGGAAGGCTATACCAACTTACACATTTAAAAAAATGCAACTGGTTTGGAGATATCCGTTGACAATTTCTCCCCTTTCTATCATCCGATTCCGAAACTGAAAGTTCCAAGTGCGCCGGAAGCGCTGATCACGTGACGCTTGTAGAAGTGACGGTTTCGTGACGTACAAATCGTCATGATCTCATATTTGCACTGCGGCTGTCACAGTGCGGCTCGAGGTATGGAAACTCGCGGGGGCGGTCTTTAGCGCTCTCGCTTTGGGGTCACATCAAAAACGAAGTCTATTCAACTGAGCCTCAAGATGTCAACGACCTGAAGAACCGAATTGTCTCAGCAAGCGCCAACATTGAACCACACGTCCTGAAGCGGGTGGTTCAATCTATGAAGAAACGATTCATGGCATGCGTAGCAGTGGAGGGTCGCCATTTCGAACATTACTTGTAGTAAGACATTACCTTAGGGTCTAAGCAAACCAGAAACTTAAATTATCAGCAATTCTGATCTCTGAAGTTATTTCGCTGAAGATAATAAATAGCAAAGACTTCTTTCTTGTAGCGTTTCATTCTCTTTCGTTAAGTCGACTGGCAGAGTCAGCGTTCGTGCGCCTACGCTATTTGGCGAAGCGCCTTCCCCGCCGACAAACAATCGCGAATGAAGCTTCGAGGGCAATGACGCATTAAAAGCGAGAGCGCTAAAGACCGCCCTCGCGAGTTTGCATACCTCGAGCCGCACCGTGACAGCCGCAGTGCAGATATGAGATCATGACGATTTGTACGTCACGAAACCGTCACTTCTACAAGCGTCACGTGATCAGCGCTTCCGGCGCACTTGGAACTTTCAGTTTCGGAATCGGATGATAGAAAGGGGAGAAATTGTCGACGGATATCTCCAAACCAGTTGCATTGTTTTTAAATGTGTAAGTTGGTATAGCCTTCCAGGACGGCTGGCTTCAAAATTATAATTGCAACATGGTCCATAACACCAATAATTAAAAAGTTAATTAACAGATTTTAGTTAATGACTCACCAGACTGTGACGGTTGTTCGCCTCTCGAATGTCCGCCGAGCTCAAGAAACACATAGTGAAGACGGCATTCACGTAGCAGTAAAGACGCCCTTTTTAAAAATCTGTTTCGAATAAAAAATAACACCCTGTATAGCTAGGCAGTTGTTTTTATAACATTAGAGATGATGAACCATCATTTCTTGACTGGCACAGTCGATACACAAAAAATTCCCAACCCCGAAAAAAGTTATAAACCCCCTAAAAACATACCCGTATTGCAAGAAAAGTAAACACCGAAACTAAGGAACCCTGATTATAACTAACAAGACCCGCGTTTGCTTTTCTCTCAGCGCAGTGACAGTTGCAGAGAGAAAGTTGAGGAAAACGAGCAGGACTCATTCGCTCAACACGCAGATTAAATGGGCTTCCACGTAATCACACTAAAAAAATAGTGTAGCCCTTAGAGCATGTCACATATTCTACATCCCAAAACTCCAGTTCGACGTACAGCGGTCTGATGTCGAACTGACGGTCCCAACTTTTGCGAGACGCTTGATGACGGTGCGAAATAGCATATTAACAGCTAAAGTACTATGAAGGACTACAAAAAACATGTTTTGCAGTGGGGCTAAGAAACCCCCGATTACTTTTTTGCAGTCAGTCACACGGCAATTAGCTATCTTAATAATTGGTACAACTCGGCTATCAAGGCACTCGTGACAGTTAGGTTCAACGACAATTCGCTGTACGTCCAATTGAAGTTCGGGGGTGTAAGATATGTGACAAGGGGTGTAAGAATATACCTTTTTTTAGAGTGCAAATCCCTGTTATATCAAGTCAGTAGTCATCGTAGCCACGCGCTGTGGTTGGCAAAACACAGGGTATGTGGAGAGCTCCAGACATGCTTTAAGTATGGTGCCTGGAGTGCGTCACCCACTGTTGTGTTGAGCATGCTATGGTGCCCATACATCCAAAATGGTTCCGAAGTGACAACAAATGATGTAAAAGAAGCGAAAGTGCATTGCTGTCGGATGTCGCGATTCAGGCGGTAGGTCGCAGGAATGCTTTCGAAAAGCAAGAGCGAACACGAGTGCCGCTGTTGTCGTCAAGGCACTCAAACCTCTGGCTGCCGAAGCTTCCGTGCACTTTCACACAGGAGAGCAACATGCAGCAGGCCAGGCGTTTTCCAGATTCACGAACACTGCTGGGACTCCGCCGGGGTCTCCACCAGCGACAGAACGGCACTTCTGTGACGTTACCAGGCGGAAATCAGGGGACACCCTTTTGGGACACTGTGACAGACCAGTCGGGGACGCGTTCCAGGCACAATAGTTAAGGTTCGGCTGATCTCGCCACGGCAGCTGGTCGATACCAGCCACTATTCAAATACTCGTCGAGACATTCTATGTTACGAGCCCTAGACGAGTGTTCACTTGGTGGTTCAGAGCAATCAAAGAACCCCTTTCAAATGATGCTATCAAATGGTCATGATTCCCGTGTCTAACACAGAAATGCGATCTCTCTTGCCATGTCTTCGGGTTTTCCGAATGATAAAATAAAAAAAAAAGAACACTTCACTTTGATTCTTAAATTACTTTGCAATAAACTGGCTTCTTTTGTCAATTTCGTTTTGAGCGCGTACAATTAGGTCACACTAGTTCCAGCAAGCTTGGGCAATGCGAGAAACACCCCAACCCAATATTGTTGTATTGCCCCCTTAAAGTGGCAATCAAGTAGTCACTTTAGTGACAAAATGACGGTCATATCACTTAGTGAGTAAAATTGATCAATTACCAATTAGTGTTTATTTAGTTAAATAAAAAGTAGTGACTATAACTGATAGCTACTATCTAAATATTTAAAGATTGGTTGAACATATTAATAGGCATACCTGAAAAAGTAATCTGATTTGGAAGTCGCAATAATAGTTTCGCGAGTTATTTAAGTTTTAAAGTTTGTTTGAGGGCCTCAGAAGCTCTACTACTAACATTAAAAGCGAGACGTCGGATGTCGTAACATGCGGCATTGTAGGGGAATTACAGCTTGTTCTCGATGCGTTACAAAAGGTTTGATGCGTAAAATGAACGCTGCTTAATCCCACACTAGCAAAAACAAGAAAAGTGCTTTCGAAAAATACTCTTGTTAGACTGCCTCTTGACTCGTAATTTATACATGCGACGTCACCCTAAAGAAATAGAGTTTTATTATGGAAGGTTGGAGATATCAACCTGAACTTAGGTTCTGTCTGGATATTTTTACTGGGTAAAATAGGAGGAGCAAGGAAAGGTGTTGTGAGAAAAAAAGTGCGAGTGACGCTGAAGCTTTTCCTTTAAAAGTGGAACGTGATATTGTTGTCGGGTCCCATTCGCAAAGCCTTCTAATTATCCTGCGCTCGTTCTCAAGCCGTGGAAGCGTGTGTGCATCGCCTAGTCGGTAGCGGCGCGTGCCACGTGACGTCCCCTGACGTATCCTGTTTTCGTTGAACTTTTCCGACAAATTTGACAGGAAAAGTTTTGAGCTAAATTTGGTGGGAAAATAATTCCAGCAAATTTGGAGGGAAAATTTCCTGCTACATTTGGCGGAAAGATTTCCCGCAAATTTAGCGCGTCAATAGGTCATGATGTCACAGCCACGTGCGATGTCACACGTGCCAGCACGCGTTGCATTGTGAGATTTATTGGTCCCACCGACGCAGACGTCGACGCCTGATTTTTCTGACACGAGCTCCTAAACGTTATCGCGTTAAAGAAAAACGGGACGATAGTGGCAATGAAGGCGAATGTGTTAATAGGAAGGTTGTACAAACTATCGCATAAGCATTTTTGGCTGCTACCAAGTGGCCGAAAATTTCGTATTAATGAGGAACACTACTAAGGCATCGTGGCCTTTATGAATCCATCAGCCAAATCCCAGGCACCAAAAATTTTCGAAAAGATAAAAGGCCGCGACTCTATCTCCAATAATGTCGCTTGCAGCAATTGTCGTTCCCCGTCAAATTCTTCATCTTCTCAGGGGATTTGTTTACCTGTCCCTTCGACGTTGTGACTTCCACATTTTGCGTAATCTCTTAGTTTAATACGACAAAGGAACTGTATAATCTAAACCTTGAGACAATGAGAAATAAAATAACAAACTACACGACAGAAAAACAAGATTGATTTTG